TCAGTTTTCGGGTGGAATTTTATAAATTTAATTAAATTGATTAAAATTTAACAATTTAAATGATTTAACAAAAAAGATAAAAAATAATATTAACTATTTCTTTAATTTAAGTAAAAAGTTTTAAATTAAAAAATATTATTTAAATTTTAATTTATACTCATATTTTTAGTAACTTGTAATTAATTAGTTTTTTAATTCATTATTAAGATAATAATTTGTTTTAATTAAATTTTAATTGTTATTCTTTATTTTAATAAATTTTCCATTTAAAATTAATTAGTAATTATTAATTTTATTTTATATTAATTATTATTTTTACTTTTCTAATTAAATTAGTTAGTATCTTTAATTTTATTTAATAACTTGATTTTGTGTCAAAATATAGTTTACATATGGAAAATTGATGTCAGAAACATATTTACCTGTTGAGCAATTTGGTTTGATTTTTGAAACTTTCCTCAGCCCACCTAGTTCCAAAACACTTGGCAGGCATGGTAGTGGGCTGGTGGGTTGGTACACAAGGGCGTGGGAGCGGGTTGCCGGGCTGGCGAGGCGGCAGATGACGGACACGATAGCGGGCTCGTGAACCACACGACGGAAAGCTGCCAAAATTAATTCCCGCCGAAAATAGCCACCAGAATTTAATTTTTTACGTGGGTTTTTCTGGCAACATTTTTTTTACCGGAAAACTACAGAAAAGTTTGAAAACTACTGGAAAATGATCAATTTCCATCGAAAAATTCCGTCGGTAATAAATAATTTTCCTGTAGTGAAGCCTTATATATAGCTCTCTTGATCTTTAGCCTAAGGTCCAAACTTCTAAAAGTGCAAGCCCCAAATGTTCCAGCTCCCCTTCATGTTGGAAGAGGGTGTCTATTTATAGATTTTGAGAGTGATATACCCTGTAAATACACAGAATATATGGGTCAAATTCTTATTTTTCCATCAGACAGCCCATACTAATTCCTTCAATTATGGAGCGTTCGTCAAGAATTTAAGTTCTTTAGTGATATCCGAATTAAGCTGTCTTAGGGCCATTAAATTCATCTCGTCGACCCGCTCAATACAACTATAAGCTTGCCATATTTAGCATTTGTTCATCCAATTAATGCTTTAAAGCTTCCCAATATGTTTTAAGCCCTTGATTTAGGGTTTAGGGTCATACATGACTTCAACCAGTGCCAAGATCAGTCCACCTAAGAGAAAGTGGAAGAAACCATAGACAACACCAGAAGAGATCCATAGAGATGGCACCCCAAAATAATAGCTTCCTAGCGAACATCCACAACGGCTATCCAAGCAACCCGGATCGAAGTCCAGGAAAGGCAGAAACAACCACAATCAAAGACCAAAAGACCACCAAGGTTGCAACCAAGCCTGGCCAACCACGTGTCAAGCAGAAGAACTACTTCACCGTCGTCCAATACGAAAAACATAAAGTGACAGGTAAGGGAGTCAAGCAACCGAACTCCAAATCAAAAGAATAAAGAGAAAACCTAACTCCTAGATTTGTAATGATGCCGTTTTCCACCACGAGAGAAAGGAGGACCTAAAGCCCTAGAGTTATCCAAACCATACGATCCTTGTAAATCCCCAACTTCATCGTCCAAATCATCATCCATATCGCATGAAGAATCCATCAAGTCTTCCAACTAATCAAAAAGTCTCAAATAGGATTCCCCTACTCGCGACAAAATTCCTAACTTAAAAACATTTGGTGAAATAAGCTCCACAGGAACATCAACCAAAGCATCACTCCCCCCAACAGAGGGAATCCTAACCAAAGCATCCAAATGATCCACAGTAACATTACCAACAACCATCGCAGATCCTAGGAGGGGAGGAACAGCAACCACCACACTAGGGACATCCACAACCCCAGGTGAACCAAGGCACGCATCCATCTGAATCACACCATCAACTTCCTCCACCTCCTCAATAATAAGAGCAGCCAAGTCATTCAAACCCTCACCAGACTCACCAGGAGCATGCAACACAGCCCACGCAGTCGGCTCATTAGCAAAGGAGATATAACAACCATAGTATCATTGCCAAGAGTAATATCATTAACAGAGCCCCCATCATTAAGTGCCACCTCAACCAAACATTAACAAGATTACCAGCCACCTCCACGATGGCCACCTCAAGAACAGAGGGTCACGCATCTATCTTAGGAAATAAAATAGGGAAAACCTCTTTAGAATGATCCAGCATTTTATAATGAGAGCAATACAATGGAAAAACCTCCATTTCAATATTTTGGATGTATCTCATAGATTTAGAGCCAAGCCATACCTGAGAAGCATAACATTTCGTGACATCTAGTTTCACATGAATTCGAGCAACATACGACCAAGTGCTGTTCAAAGTGGCATTGTTAACATGCAAAGGCCTATCAAACATAGAGCCCAAACCATGAAGAATGCGAGGCGAAGAACGCAAATTGGGTAAGGAGACCCACATGGGCATAATGGGTGACTCAACATTAACGTTAAAGAGGGGAGATGACTTAAACAACTTCATGAAATAATTATCAATGAAATACAATCGTTGAGAGAAAATCCTAAAGTAATCTAGGTTATTAGCTAACTTGATCAACACATTTTTAAGGATTCAAGACAGTAACCAAAAATGCACCACACAGCTTGAGATTAAAGAAGAATTTCCGAATCAAATCAAGAGATAGACGACGACCCGAAAATTTACCTACGAAAGAAAACTCAAAAGGCACGACAAGAGACAATAATTCTACATCTGAAATAATTAAAGCAGGCAAATCATGATGAGAAGAAACTTTGAGAGGTGGAAAATCAGGCGAATCACTAGATAAAGAATCATGAAATGATTTTGACTTGGCCTTTCCATCCAAAAGCTCAGGATCCTCAAGCCGATTTGCAACCATAGGGAAGAAAATCATAGGAAATCAAAGGTTAAGGGAAGGAGAAATACTGAACACCAGACGCCACAGACAGAGCCAAGAAACCCTAGTCATAGTGCCTCCTCTACACTTAATCACAGGTCAAACAACGACAAAGGGTCGTCGAGTAAGTTGAAGATGAGGGGCTGAAGGAAGCGAAGCAGACTTTGAGAGGTTGGGTACGGTCGGAGCCAATGGGGATGACCAGCTAGAGGCGGACAATGGGCTATTGAGCAAGGCTAGCGAATTGAGGAAGGATGGCGGACGACGGACATTCACTGTGGTCTAGGCGAGGATTTCCAGACTCTCGAGCCCAGGCAGAAGCCTCCTCACCCTAAAACTCTGAACAAAGAATGGCATGATAAGCTTTTATTTCATAAATTATAGCAAAGCAACTCAGTAAAAGAGAAAGAAAGGAAAATCCTTTTTCTATATTTTTAAAAGAAAAAAAATCATATGAAAGATGAAGGGCGATGTTGTCGCTTCCAACGGTTGAAAGCAATAGAAAGTTCAAGAGAATATGAAGAGGTGACAGTTAAGAAAGCACAACTATACATTCAGGAGAATATAAAAGAGGTAAGAGTTGATTAAGGGGTTCTTATTTTTACTGAAAAAATTAAATGTAAAATGGAAGACAGTACAATGAAAGCAATGTAAGTGAAACATCTTTCAATTTCTTGCATCGTTACAGTAATATTTAAATTGGGTATAATTGATAGAACTGTCATTGAATTCTCATTTATATGAATATCACATGCATAAAGAGATGTGTTTTTTTGACATATTCTTTGCTTGCTATATAACTGAATTTTATTTGGACTTTTTAACATAATCTATGCAGTTTTTGATATTATTTTATCTTAAATTTTAAATTTCATCTTTTTTTCTAGCATTTTTTTATTATAAATAAAAAATACATGTAGTAGCCCGTCGCTATAAAAATTATTTCATATTTTTTCTCTAATTTCCTCGCCTTTTTCCGTCTCGCTCATCTAGATTTCTTCTTCTTTTGTGGGCATTTTCATAACTACCTTCTGATCTTTCTTGAACTAAAAAAGAAAAAAAAAAATCTATGTTCTAAAGATGATAAGAAGTTTGTATCATCCAACGATAACTCGTCAAGGGGAGTAACCTTACATTTCTTTTATCCGATTTGAATTCCTTATTCTTCTTTCTTCCATAGGAAATTTTTTGAGAAAATTCTTTTTTTAATATTATTTGAGAATATTATTATTTATAATGTATAAATTATACATACATATATGAATATTGAATGTAATAATATCAATCATATAGCATATAATAAATTAAATATAAATTTTAACATATAATTTTTTATTTTTTAAAATTTACGTGATAGATTTTTTATTAGTGATCATAACTTACATTTTTAAAAATTTTACTTTGCAATGATTTAAGGCTTTGCTGTGGAGAAATCTCCAAAAAAATTCAGAGCTTTTTTTGTTAGAGAAAATTGCTTTATAAAAGATGTGTTTTTAAAGCTATTTTGAGATAACTTTCTTACTACAATTTCTCTACTTAATTTATAAAAGAAGACAAATTAAATAAGGCCTAAAGTTTTATCAGAAAAGGATATGGATGCATCAACAAATACTAGGGTACTCTATTGAATATAGTTTAACTTTCATCCCTTATTTAAACCATCAATCCAGCATCCTCCATACCTCGCCTCAAACACCGACTTCGTTTCGTTCGCCTAACCCATCAATCTGTCGAAAACCCTCTTTTTGACCCCATCAATCAGGCTAAACTTATTAGCTCAAAAATTTTGACATTTTCTTATTTATTCTCATAAATAATATAATAACTAATAACCTTATTAACCTCATTAATTCCTTTAACTATTGATGAGACCATATATTGGTTGGGAAGTTTTTTCATTACTTTCAACTCTCAGTTTTTCAAGTATTTTTTGAGATGATCATGGTTCTAATAATGTGCCACAATTTTGCAATTTTGTGTTTTATTTTGTGCCACTATCATGCAAACAACTATTAATTACCTTTGATGCAGACTAGAAATTTGTATAGATTAATTTTAATGTATGTGTAGAAGCGAATCGTATGGCAAAATTAGCAACATTCACTACCAAAATTATGATCTTTTCGCAGCACATTGTAGCGGCAGTTTATAAATTGTTGCTATAGAGAGGTTTACACAGCAGTTTTAACCCCTACTCAAAACTCCTAAATATTTATAACTTTAGCAGCCAATTAGTTAAGGCAGAGGCAGTTTTAAAATCCGCTACTATAGGAAAAATATGCTTCCACCATTTTATTGTTGATTCCTTAGCCTCCAATCTCGTCTTAGCCCGCCATTCCAATTCCTCTCTGTCGTGATCCAGATCCCTCTCCCTCTCGCACTGTTCATGCGAGAGCTCCAGGCTATCGGCATTTGCAGATTTTGAGTGCGGCTTTGGGATGTTGGTTGCGGCATTGGTAGGAAAGTGTTCAAAGCCTCCAAACAAAAATATCCATATAAATATATTAGCATGTGTTTAAACTGCTGCAATAGGTCCTAAAAAGTGATGTGAAAGCCTAAATTACTAGTAGTGTTTTTTTGTAATTTTTTTCCACTTTGTATATGAACTAGAGATAAACTAATTAAGCATAAGAGTTTTATTAGGCATTTATTTTATTATTTTGATGTAATTGATTTATGAAATCATACTATTTGTATTTATGGTGAATTTTAAATGCTTGCATTATTATTTTTATTGTAGATTGATCTAATACCCTTTGTATAAAGCTGATAGCTAATAATGGAATAAGCTCATTACTAGCGAAATTTAGTTGTTTTTTTTATGTTGTTGGATATGAAAAATTTCCAATGCTATCTTGGATGTTTCCTTCCATGATTGATTTAAGTAATATGTCAATTCACTTGAGTGTAGTATTTTTTTATTATCAATTATAATAATAGTATTATTATTCTTATTATTAGTATATACTTATTCACTATCTAAATATAATAATAAAAAAATAATTTGGATGATATCCCTGCAAGTGCTCGCTCAAAGGAAACAGCTCAAGAATCGGACAACTGAAAGGTGGAATTTGGATTGCAGTTTCCCATGCGATTTATAGTGAAGACATACTGCAAGTAGAAAGCTCTTGTAAGAGAGGCATCTTTGGTTCTGTGAAGACATGCTGCAAGTAGAAAGCCACGCAAATTTCTTTTTCGGATCAGGGCAGGGAAAATAACCACGATCAGATTTGGGTAGGCTCCCTTAGATTGGAAATCTCTTAAATTTCTGACAGTAAACACTACTCGGTTTTTTACCAAAGCTGCCATACAATTCAAGTGGTTGTGTCGTATACCATAGAAACAAACTTATAATAAAAAAAATATTCATATTACATTCTTAGCAAAGATTGATATTCAATTTATAAAAGTGAAGGCGCAAATCATATTGATGGAGTCCAATTTTTCTGTGGATAAGAGTGAAGGATATAATGAACGAGATCATTGTAAGGATAAAAAATTCCAACATCATAATCAACATAACCTAGAAACATGTTGCTTGAATGATCGGCAAAGTATATGCAGTTTGGTTTAATTCTGATAGAAACTGTGTACTGCAAAGAAAATGTTTGATTACAACCCCAAAAAAAGAGTTTTCCCCCAGCTCATTGACAGGGATCCATTGAGAGTAAGAAGAAGAAGAAAAAGTAATAGTAGTAATAACAATAGTTGACACAAACTTGAACACAAAAATAGTCATTTTGTTTCGCGGTATGGTGACAATCAAGAATAATATCAATCACCCTCTTTATTATTAGAAGAGTTCCATACAAAAACTCGATATAAGACATACAATCGAAGTTTCTGGTGCATGCGATTGTATGGGTTGGGCATATTCAGGCAGATCAATTCAACATTTTGTCCATTGAGGTCAGAAGAAAACACCATAGAAAAATTCGTGATTGTGTAAAATTTATGATTTTGTTCATGGTAGCAAACATTCTCAAACTGCTCCTTGTCCTTTGTGTTGTTAGGAGATAGTTGTGGCCCAAGAACCCAAGTCAGATCTTCTAACATTGCCAAAGCAAGCGCTTTTGTATTGCCTAATATAACAATAATAGTTCTAGAGGAGTCATTAGAGGAGAAAATGATCTTATGAAAATATACATCATGTAAGTCATCAATAGTAATGTCAAAGAAATTTTCATTGCAAGAAATCCTTATAGCATCAGGGGCATATTGTGTCTTGATCAAGGTGAATTGTGATGGGAGTGATAATTTAGCTTTTTTGACAGAGTTAAAAAGGCAAGGTTGTAGATCTATTTTGTCAGGGGTCACAAGCCATCCATCATTGGAGCCAAAATAGAAGAGATCATAGGTGTGGCTATCGATGGAGGAGAAGCAAAGAGGGAAGTTGCCGATAGGTCTTCTCTTTTTGTGGTAAGTTTGTGGAAGGTGAGTGTTTCGGAGGCTTCTACAACATCATTTGAAAGGAGCAACCATGGGGAGGGACGACATTGTTATTTGAGGAGTGCATAGTTGGCAAGAATGAAATTGTATGAGATGCATACAACATATAATTAGACTAAGTCTACAATGGATAAGTGAGATGAGATGCAACAAATGAGATCTATGGGGCGATTAGAACTTTTTGTAATATTATTGTATTTGCGATGGCACCTTTAGAAGGTTCAAAGTATAAATTGGTTAAGGAAATGTCATCAAAATACATCATGTTTATAGTTGAATCAAGCGACTCGACGAGATGAATACAAAGAGCCTAATATCACTTAATTAAGACATCTTTAAGGTGCATAAATGATTAAATAAAAAATATATTATCAAGGAAATTGATGTGAGCCATTCGATGTAAAACTCCGAATTTACTCCGTATTATCTCCATATTGGAAGGCATGCCACTCTAAAAATTCTATAAACATATGTATGTTCTCTTCATCAAGGGAACCCCTGAGCTAGAGATTAGAGAGTATTATAAGGCTTCAAAGATCTTATATCTCTACGAAACCACTAGTGTTGGTGAACTTTCATTGACCACCTCTAGTAAATTTCCGTCGACCATCGCTAGATTGTTGCCCTTCCGCTAACCATCTTTGAACCACCTCCTAGTCGCTGACCATCATCTAAACTATGTCCAGATCCCTATCATCATCGAAACTCGGTCTGATAATTGACTATCACTAGACCACCGCCAATCCACCAATCATCGTCGGACCTCTGCCTGTTGCCAATTGCCACTGGACCTCTGCTCGGCTACTTTCCTTAATCATAGATTATAGTAGCACCAACCACCGTTGCGGTCCCTTAGATCACGGTCGTACATCGACCATGTTTACTGTCAACCACCATTGTCCCCTGAACACGATTCTTTTGACCACCTTCACCAGTGACCATGCCCTTCGACCACCATTGCTTGCCGACAATGGTCCCTTCAACCATCGTCCCTAGCTGACTTCGATCCAAATAACCACATTTACTACCGACAAAGGTCACTTTGACAATGTTCGCCCGCTGATTATGATTCCTCTGACCATTGTCGCCCAAGAGATCTTCATTACGCATCGACTACGATCCCTCCAACCACCATTTCCAAAGCAACTACGGTCCCCATGACCACCATTGCTCGTTAACTATGATCGTTCTAACCTCTATTTCCTATCAAATATGTTCCCTTCAACTAATGTCACCCACTAGTTATACTCCAACCATCATGGCCCACCAAGTACTATGGTCCCTCTGACCACCTTCATATGCTGACTAATTTCCCTCTGAACACTGTCACTTGACCTCCGTGGCACTCCGACCATGGTCCCTCCAGTATTAATTACCCACTGGCTATAGTCCCTCTAACCTCCATTGCCCGCCAACTAACGTCCCTCAAACTTTTATCATCTGTTGACTATGGTCTGTTCGACCATGATCACCCACCGACTATGGTGTCTCTTATCACCGTCTCCTGCCGACTATAGTCCCTCTGACCACATTAGCCCAATTATGGCCCCTCCGACCACCTTCACCCTAAAAAATGGTCCCTTTGACCACAATTGGTCATCAAATTTGGTCCCTTCGAACATAGTGGTCCACTAATTATGATCCCTCCGACTACAATAGCCCATCGACTACAGTACCTCTGACCTCCATTGCCCATCTTCTATGATCCTTCCAACCTCTATCGCTCACCGACTATGTGTTGTGAATCTGAACTCGTGGATTATGATTTTGATGATAGCAAACACTCATGTTTCTCTGTGACTACCTTAGCTACTGACACTTCAGGTCAACAAGATCAGCTTGCAATTGGAACTAACTCAAGATTGAGTAGACTAGGTCTGAGCCAGTTTGTACCTTTTTTTTCCTCTCTTGAGTCTATTATAATTTGTGTGGCTCCTAATACTAAGTAACCTTACACACACGCTTTAAGTGAATTTTTGACTATTTCCTAGAGTTTACTATTTTTGGTAACATCGTACAGCACGATCGGTTGAAAAAAAAACCCTAAGCAGGGCATCATAGTTAAGGCAACCATCATTAAGCCGATCAGCCTTGAGGATATTGTATCGGTCTGGATGATATGCTCAAAATAGAAAGAATCATCCGCCAGTCTATTTAGGCATTAGTTATTTTTTAACATCGTCCAGAACATCAGCTCGAACGATGTAACATAATTATTCCAAAATTAATCTGGTAATTAAGAATATCAATTAGTGGTGATTTGCACGATCACATCGATCGGGACGATGTCGTGGACGAATGACATCAACCAGCTTCTTTTCAGGGCTATGTTTAGGATGATTTTTCTCGAATTTGAACTAATCATCCAAGATGATATCCTATCGGCCTGGACGATATGACCAAAAATTGTTTAATCATCCCTAACTTACCGAGCTGATTGAGCATAATTTATGCTGATCGGCCAGACTGATATTTATATCGGCCTAGACAATAAAGTTGGAAAATTGCATTAATGAGCTTTTTTGAGATCTTCTATTTATGCTTTTACAAGACACTTGGTAAGTGTCTTTGGCAGCCATTATAACTTCATTCTTTTGGAGGGAATTTGAAGAGAGAGCATGAAAGAGAGAGAGATCAAAGGGTGGAGTTCTAGAGAGGGAGAAGATCCTTGGAGGGGGTTTCAAGGTAGTGTGGAGGGGGATTCCATATGGTTACTCCGGCGAGCTTGCACCTTAGTACCATCGGATTCAAGGCTTGTCTTGAGGGAAGTTTTGAGAAGAAGAATATCTCTTTGGTGTCAAAAGACCTGACTACTCCGCCGCACCGGGGAAGGTGGAAGAGATTTTGTAAGAGCTTCTCCTTCTAATTGTGGGGGCTAAAGGAGAGACATTGAGTTTAGTGCAATACTCCGAGGGTGCCTCCGAGGAGTGGACGTAGGTCAAGGTTTGACCGAACACTATAAATCAAGTGTGTTCTTTCCTTTATTATTTTTGTATTTAATTTCCACACTTTGATTTCTGTGA